AAAATGATAATTAAAAACTAGAAGGGATGACACAATTAAAGTCTTGAGACAAAGGATTGAAAGCAATAGTTTAATGAAGAAAACGGAAAACTGGAAAGATCGGGAAACTCAAGGAAACGCAAAAAAGTAAAATATGAGCTAGATAAAAGGCTTAAAAGATTCAGACAGGCACACACATCACACAGAACATGATAATGAAACTGAACTTGAAATAAAAAGAACGTAAACACAAGCTAAAACTAGAGTCACAGGTTGTCACTGTTCTCTTTAAAATCAATTTAGGTGCCGGAGAGGCAGACGTAACCACTGGGTATGGTAGATCAGTAACTCTACTCTCTCTCTCTCTCTCTCTCTCTCTCTCTCTCTCTCTCTCTCTCTCTATATATATATATATATATATATATATATATATATATATATATATATGAGGCTTCCGCCTTTTTTTTCTTTCTTCTTTCATCTAGCCCGCTGCGTTCTACTAACCCCAGTATTGAATTTAACACTATACATACAACTAAGGAGGCTCATTGAGTTGAATTAAGAGATCATCGGTCTAGGTCTACTCTTTGCTTGGGGTGGAACCTATTTAATCATCTGTTATAGTCTGTCTTTTACTAGTTCACTGGTTTTACTAGATATATATATATATATATATATATATATATATATATATATATATATATATATATATATATGTATGTATTTCTATGTAGCCAAAGTATGGATGGGAATAAATGTGTACACAATACAAGAGATGTATTTAAATGCATCTTTTGCATTCTGATTCATACGTTTTCTGCATTTGTGAACATGAATACGGTTCGTGTGTGTATATGTATATATGTATATATATATATATATATATATATATATATATATATATATAAGTAGTGATTATATGGACACACTAGCCTCACCCCCATGGGTCCCCCCTATGTACCTAACGTGTCATAACAGGAAGTGACCTAATGACTTCCGGAAGTAATTACCGTAATCGATTACGGGAAATCAGTAACCTTGACTAATGATGGAGAACACGCACACCTGAAGGGGTGCCCCCCTCCCTTTCCTCTTCAAAACAACAACAATAATAATGAGAATACGAGAAAGAGGAAGAAGAAGAAGAGGAAGAAGAGGAACAACAAACAAACATGGATCCTGTTGCCGCAGGTCAAACTATCATCCTAAGAGCAGGTGTCACAGGTTCCACCACCCCAACCCCTCACCCAAAACACCTTGGACACACAGCCTCACCCCCATGGGTCCCCCCTATGTACCTAACGTGTCATAACAGGAAGTGCCCTAATGACTTCCGGAAGTAATTACCGTAATCGATACGGGAAATCAATAACCGTGACTAATGATGGAGAACACGCACACCTGAAGGGGTGCCCCCCCATCCCTTTCCTCTCCAAAACAACACTAATAATAATAATAAGGAGAATACGAGAAAGAGGAAGAAGAAGAAGAAGAAGAGGAAGAAGAAAGGAAACAAACAAACATGGATCCTGCTGCCGCAGGTCAAACTATCATCCTAAGAGCAGGTGTCACAGGTTCCACCACCCCAACCCCTCACCCAAAAACACCTTGGACTCACCAGCCTCACCCTATGACTACCCTCTTATCCCGCTATGCACATACCTGACGTGTCATAACAGGAAGTGACCTAATGACTTCCGGAAGTAATTATCATAATTGATTACGGGAAATCAATAACCGTGGCTAATGAGGAATAATACGCACACCAAACAGGTGTCCCCCAACCACCCAAGTCCCACCCCTTCATTCCCACCGCCCTCCAGGTCACGCGCAAAATTAAGCCATTACCGATGTGAGTCAGGTCAGCGAAATCAATAACAGCATCTATTCGTCATGTTTGAACATGTGGGATGGCCTACATTGTCTTAAAACATCTCAATAATAAAGTTATCCCCTCAGAAGTCAGGCACAGACACTAATTAATCAGATATTCACAGTTTGTTCCCACAATCGAAAAGCACCTCGTTTATAAGTATAGAGTTCAGCGGAAAGGAGTATAAAATTCGTTGTACTCAATATGTCTTTATTTTTATTAACATACAAAGAATATTAATAATACATTTTCAAAAAATAGTGTACACACACACACATACATTGTTCTATGGAGGCCCCCAGAAGGACAGATCTATCGCTTGCGACAGATTTATGTCCTCATCAGGCATATTTTGCGTAAGGCCAAAATTCAGAGGAGGCGACGGGCAGGGGGATATAATTTGGATGGAATCGCCACTCGAAATTTCTATGAGTGGGATCTCATCTGAAATAGACGGCGATGCAGGAGGGGAAAATCTTTCCGCAGCCAACCCAATCTCTTCATCGTCCTCATCGCTTGAAATGTCCACAAACGGAATAGCTTCGCTATTTCCCGTGGGACGGTATGCGGGCGACGTAGGGCTCACAGCAGGCAAAATAACGCGAGAGCAGGACTCGACCCTCGCAGGCGACATGTAAGAGGGTGACA